GAGGGCCCCGACGGGCGGGCACGCTGCTTGGGGCCCTTCGGCCGAGGACCCGCGTCCCTCTCCGCGGCGTCGCCATGTCCTCCGTGTTCGGGAAACCGCGCTCGAGCAGCGGGCCGCAGAGCGCGCCCCTCGAGGTGAACCTGGCCATCCTGGGGCGCCGCGGAGCGGGCAAGTCCGGTGAGTGGGGCGGTGCCCGGAAGGCAAGGGGTTAGGTGGGGACGGGGAGCGATGAAGGCATCGGCACTGTGGGCCTGAGGGCAGACTCTCCCACTGGCTTTGGGGGCGTCCTGCACCCAGGTGAGTTGGGCAAGACACCGAGATTTTCTTCTTTGCCTCAGTTTCTCGGTTGCTTAGCGCTCTCTCTGCTTTGTTCTCAGCTCCTCCATCCCTCATCCGTCTTCTGTTCCTTGCCTGGCTCTCTCTCTGTGTCTCTATGGTCGGTGTCTGTGACCCCAGTTTTTTCTCCCTTCTATCTTTGTCTCTCCCAGTCCTCAGCTGGCCTCTCCCCTGGGCACCCCTAACCCCTACCACCTTTCCCTGAGGCCAGTAGTCAGCTCTAGTCATTGCAACCAAAGGGACCTGTTAGGCACCGATCCTAGCCTAAGGCCCCTGTGAGCTCAGTCATCTCCTTGCTACTCCCTGATTAGGCTGGAGGTGAAGGAGCCACTGGCCCCTGAAGAGAGTTGATTGAAGTCACTGGCTATTGGGATGTCCCGGGCCACACTCCCCACTCCCTTCCTCAATTCCCTGGAATTCTGGAATAAAGTGTACAGGCTTATCAAATGTATTTGTTTCAAGCCAGACCCTTCTCTTGACTTCTTAGAAACAAATTGGACTGTGGTCCAGGTACCCTTGACAAACCAAGATCTTGGCTTCCATTGAGATCATTTCTATCAACACTGAAGTCTACTTTCACCACTGTTGGCAGCTCTCACCCACCTGGAGCCCACCCACCAAGGAGGGTGGGAGTGGGGGTGTCACTACAGGCAGAGACCCAGGAAAAGGGTTCAGCCCCCCGGGTGCTACTCACAGTCCCAGGCAGCTGAAGGTGGGAGGGGAGAGGGGCTCCTCCATGGCCGTTTCTCAGTTACAGCCATTTAGTGAATGGCCAACATGAGCTCTGTAAGCTATTGGCTTCCTTCCCCAGAGTGTTTTTTTAGGACTCACTGGGGGCTTCCTCTCCACTTTTGAAGCCAGCCCTCTGCTCAGAGAGGGCTGACTCTGAATCACGTTTTCCTACAGAAAAGATTTGCCCTCTTCCCTTTGAAAATAAAATTGTTATCCAGAGCTCTGTCCCTAGTACAGTTTAGCCAGTGGCTATATTACTTAAGGAATTTAAATGTAAAAATATGTATTCCCTGGGTATTACTTTGCAAACTGACAGATAGGAATCCTGGGAAAGAATTTTAAGGATTTTCTTTAAAATATCATATTACTTTTTAAGAGTTCAGTGTAATAGTTGGCTGGCTCTTGGCTTTATGTGGTTAAATTCTGAACAGAATCAGAATTCTGTTAATGCATTGCACCTGGGGATAACCTCATTCTAGAGTTTTACATTCTGTGAAGCACCATCATGAGTTTGGAGGCCCTAGAGCCAAGACTTGAGATGTGAGGGACTGAGGGTTAGTGTGTTTACTTGGGACACATCTTGCCTGGACTTCGCCTGGAAATCCCAGGCCCTCAAGGAGTCATGCTGCCCCCAGGGATCACCCACGGATCAACTTGGCTCTTACTCTCTCTTTGGCTTGTAGCCAAAATTGGAATAAATGCCCCACATTTCAGAATCTTTGTGACTTATCCAGGGTGGGGGATGTCTCCCTTCAGTTGGGGTTGCATGGGTCCTGACCCCTTAGTTCGTATCTTCACAGACACCCTTTAGCATTGCTTCTCATTACTTTTCTTAATTAAAAAAAGAATTTTTTTTAAATCCCAGGATGCAATGAAGGGACACAGTTCCCCATATTTCTGGTTTCTTCTGAGCCTCTCAAACCAACTCCTCAGCTCCCAGTCTCATTCCCCCAGAGACTTCTGAGCTTGGTGTCAGCCAGGGGTCACAGAGGCTAGATAAGGCCTTCCTACAATGAAAGGGGCAGCCTCCAGGGCTAGCAGCCAGACACAGCAGGGGAGACTGAGCCACTTTCTTTCTGCTTCTTGCAGCCCTGACCGTGAAGTTTCTGACCAGAAGGTTTATCAGTGAATATGACCCCAACTTGGGTAAGGAACCACTCCTCCCTGTTCCTCCTGCTGTGCCCCTCTCCGGGATCAGATACCTACCCTGTGGTGGGCCCAGGTGTGACCAGGACCAAACATCTAGAGGCAGAGGGGAGGAACCACCAGAATGACTCAGCCCATGGCTGGAAAATGTTTTAAGTGCCAAAGATACACCCTCCACAGTCTACCCTAGACAACTTGGGGGTTGGCCAAATTCAGAAAGCTATGTGATTTGCCCTCAAATATGCGGCTTGATGAAATTTTGAAAAAATCAATCAGCAGAATATCCACGTCTATTAAGTGTTGTTCTTCAAGGTAGTCACTCAATGCACTTTTCCAGAAAAGATGGACAAGACATTTAAGAAAATTTCTAGTGGAACTGGCTTTTGAACCAGTTGTAGAATCACACAAGGAAATAAGTCTTGCTTTATTGACATATCATGGTATATTGGAAAAAGGGATGCTCTGGTGTCAGTCAGAGCTGAGTTTGAATCCTGGCTCTGCCACATATTGGCTGTGCAACCTTAAAGCAGTCATCTAACCTCTCTGAACTTCTTTTTCCTCATCTGCAAAATGGGCATGAAAACATTTATCTCAGAGAACTACTATGGGGATTAAAGAGATAACACGTAAAAGAGCTAGTTTACTTGATTCACAGTAGACATTCAATATATATTCGCTTCTCCTTCCTTCTCCTTTTTCCTCAAATGGCTTCCCATCTATAATGGCTGAGATTCCCTCAAATTAATCAGATCAATGTTTCTGAAAATTATTTTTAGCAGCAGGACCTTTTCCTCAAATAACCCCTTACATGGAACCCCAGTATCAAAAACAAATAAAAGCAGACTTTTATTAGTATACATGCAACCTAAAGCTCACATTTATACCATTTGTTGTTGTAAACTGTGCACTGAGAAAAAAGAGTTATCTGGATCTCTTCGCCTTTTGGAAATGAAGGTTACAGTCTTGGGCTATTTTTCCCATTCATAAGAATTGAATAAAGCTTTTGTGTTACCCCCAGGACCCCTGAGGAAACCCAGGGCTTTGGAGCACAGCTTGGAAAGCTGCACAGTACAGCTCTTCCTGCAGCAGGCCTCTGATGGAATGCCCCCGTGACACCTGAAGGAAAGAACTCCTTAGCCCATTGGCGCCCATCTGCCTCTTAGTTCAGGCTAGAATGTTGAATTCCCAGTGTTGGAACAGGAAAGGACCTCAGGGCTATTTAGGCCCTTGAGTAGCAGAATCCCTTCTGACCAGAAGGTTTATCAGTGAATATGTTTTCCAACTTGGATAAGGAACCACTTGGGTAAGGACGTCTTAAACAGAACCCCAGAGTTTTGAACAGAGAAATTGGTAGGGCTCCCCTGGTAAAGTCAGGAGTACAAGGCCAGTGACTGGCCAGTAGCCCCTTAGGGGTTTGTTTCTCAAAGTTTGGTTTGACCACCGGTGCTTTGAAATGACTGCTCCATGCTGCAGTGGAGGAAATAGGCCCAAGGAGCTGAGGCTTCTGGGCCAAGGTCACACAGCAGATGTGAGGAGAGCCCATTAATTAGCAGAGGTCAGTGCCGATGGGAGTGGGACACGGGCTGTGACTGTGTGCTGGCCTCAGGAGGTGTTGGGAGAAGCCAGAAGGAGAAGTCAGATGGAGTGGGGAAACTGAAGCAGGGAGAGGAGGGGAGAAGGCGGGAAGGAAAGGCACACAAGCAGGAGTGCCTGGGAAGGGGAAACGGGTTCTCAAGGATGGATCCTCAAAAGACAGATTTTGCCAACCTCAACTACTGCATACATATGCTAAACATTATTTGCTGTCTATCTGAAATTCAAATTTAACTGGGCATCCTGTATTTTATCTGGCAACCTGCCTCCAGTCTCTCTCCCTCCCTGCCCCCCAGTCCATACCCTTTCTGCAGGGTCCCACCAGAGGCTTATTACAGTGGTGGTTTGAGCTTCCTGATTGAGTAATTTTGGAGTTCTGACCTGGTAGCGGAATGCATGGTCAGACTGTGTGGGGGCAGCAGGCCTGCTATGGTTAGTCATCCCACCCTGAGCGCCTGTGAGCTGCAGAAATGACCAGACGCTCTCCCCTCAGCCATTCTGGGAGGCCAGTGCTGCTCCTGGGGGTTCTGTTTCACTGTCTGAACATTTCGGCCACTATCCCATGGCTGGTTCCAGCAACAGGGGGGACTCCGGGACCGCAGCCTTTCCTTCTATGGAGAAACGTCTGAGCATGCAAGGGCAGAGTTAGCCATCAGGAGATGGAGAACCACTCTTTCTCCTTTTCAAAGGTCTTCAGAGAGCTTGAGCTCAAATGGAGCCTCTTGAGTGTGGGAACCTGTATAATTTGTTCCCATTTGCAGCATGGAGCACAATACTAGGTACAACATAGGTGCTCATAACATGGAACTGAATTTTGATTTTAGGATTGTCCTTTAGAGAACAGCTTCTGTTATCTCCATTTTACAGATAAAGAAACTGAGGCAGTGATTTGCCTAAGATCATGGAGAGCCTCAGTACAAAGGAAGATGAGACACCACACCAGCTGCTCTCCACTAAGGGCAGCCTCATGCTATAGGGAACCTGGAGCCAGAGGTCTGCTTGGCACTGGGCTCTCTGAGCCTTGATTCCCCCATCTGGAGAGATGTGACTAATAGACTGTGCTCTGTCTGTGTAAAAGTTGTGCCTCATCATGGGCTGTGACTGATAGAGCTGGTAGGAGCTGAGAGATTCAGTGCCTGGAAAGGGCTTTGCCTGTGCTGAACGCTGCAGGAGGGGGCGGAGGTCTCCAGAACATTCTCTTGCAGAGGGCTGGGGTCATCCCACCTGGCTTGCCCAGGGCAGAATGATGGCTTCTCTCTTGCCCTCATCCCGCTCCAGCAAGGATGCAGGCACCATTTCTGAGGCATCATCCCATACACGCTCTGACCTGCGCGCCTTTGGTGCCTTGTAAAAAATTATTACTGTAAATGAGAGGAAATGCTTTGAGAAAAGAATCTTCTCTCAGCATTAAAGTCCACAGAATGTTATTTAGAACTAGAAGTTATGAGGCCCATGTAATTAAAGATACCAGAATGGCCTTAGGGCAGAAACTAGATGATGGGAAGAAAGGACATTACTGTGACTTGGAAAAGAGCCCCCAACCCCCAGAGTCACCTCGCTTGCAAAGGGGGAGGAAGCTGGTGAGATGATCTCTGAGATTCTTCCAGCTCACCCATGCGTGTGCCACATCCTCAGCTGGGCTGGGAGCTTCTGCTCTTCCCCTGTACTCTGCCCAGGTAGAACTGGAAATTGACTAGTCCACTGAGCAAAGGGAGTGAGGGGGTCCCAATGGGGAGGTAGCCCAGCCTAGAAGACCTGAGTTCAGATTTCTTTACGGTTAGATGTGTGGCTCCCTTCTTCTCTGGGCCTCGCCTCCCTGTCATCTCTCTACAGTGGAGCTAATAGCAACCTCGAAAGGCTGTTGTGCTGTCGGGACTGCAGGAGACCAGGCCCAGGGTTGGGCTAATATTTTTCTTTGAACTGGGCAGGACACAGTGCCTGTTTGGGAACAGGAGCTGTGAAGTACCTAAAAGGGGTGTATCAGACAACATGGGCAGGAAAGTGTAGGCATCTAGGGACAGCTCTTCTTGCACCAAATATAGTTAAACATTTGGGGCATATTTTCCATTGGATTTTTTTTTTTTTTTTTTTTAATCTTTGAATAAGAGCGGCATTTATCCAAGTCCCCAAAGCAGGCTGGGGACGGGAGCTGTCTGTGATTCCTACTGGCTGCTAGTGGACCTGGCATGTGTCCAGGCCTGGCTCAGCTGCCAGTGGCCCTCAGAGAGAAGTATTTGACTCAGCCAGGGTTAGGGGTTCTCTTCTCACAGCAGCTGCTGCCAAGAAGACAGAGAGGGCCCCAATTCTGCCTAGAGGGGTCGTCTTTGGGGCCATTTGGGGCACAGGGGCACCAGGGAAAGGTAAGGACCAAGTGCACTCACACACATGGGCCAGTGGCACAGGGAAAGGTCGGGGGTAGGGAGAGCGATTGCCAGTATGGCAGCGAGGTCCTCTTTGCATGCCCGGCCACTTGCTGCTTTCTCAGGTTTGAGGTTATGAGAACTGAAAAAAGTAAAAACTCATGAAATCCAAATAAGGTCAGTAGCTTAGTTTATAGTATGATACCAGCGTTAATTTCCTGGTGTTGGTCATCGTACTACGGTTATGTAAGGTGTTAACATTGGAAGGATGGGGCTTGATGCTTGTGCACACGTGGAGACAGGTGCACACACATGTTTACACAGAGACTTCCCTCGGCCCAACTAGGGGGATGGTACACAGGAACTCTCTGTACTATTGTGTAACTTTTACATGAGTCTAGGATTATTTCAAAAGACAAAGAAAAAAAAAATTACCTGGAAATGTGAGCCTGCCCTGTAAACTCTGGTGCACCATGGTCCCCACTGTCCTTTACCAGGCATCTGTGAAGGGTCAGGGCCCCTACCCAGGGGCCCATCTAGTCTTCACACAGCCCTGTGAGATAGTGCAGGACGCGCATTTAGCACAGTACCTGGCACAGATGAAAAGCTTGAAAACTGTTAGCTGATGTTATCATCTTATCCTCATTTTAAAATGAGGAAACATTTAAAATGAGGAAACAGCTCTTTTCCAAGAGCTGAAATGACTTAACCAAATCACACAGCTAAAAAGTAGCTGAAGTGGCGTTTGATTCCACATCTCCAACCTAAAACTTTCGACTACCGGGTTCCTCTGCTATTATTTTGACAAGGATTATTTGTAAAACCTTCTTGGGACTGCTAAACAGGGTTCTCCCACGGCGGGCAGGAGGACTGTCCTTGGGGGCTTCCTGTGGGTGGGGTATTGTGGTCAAAGGGGAAGAGGGTGGAGAAGCTAGGAGTTCGGGAGGAAGGGGCTGGCAGCACAGTTCCTGAGGCCTCTGCTGCTACCTGGGCCTGTGGCCACATACTCCATCCTGCTGGTGTGGTGGGTGGACCTAGAACACAATCCCCTCCTCTGCGGCGTGTTCTGTGAGGGGCCTCTGTTGCTCTGAGCCCTGATAGGTGGAGCACTGTCTCCTTGGTGGGAGGTTCTGCTCATGTCCTCCATGTGGGTGAGAGCCAAGGCCTTTGCAGTGGTCCCAGCTCAGCCAACCCTGGGTTAGGTCCCCCAGGGCTGCACCGGGGTCCAACCCAGAAGGAAGCTGGGACTCATACCTAGTCCATTAGCAGTTTAGTGGTCTGCTCTGCCTTTAACCTAGCTGACTGTCTGTGTTGCAGAGGACACCTACAGCTCTGAGGAGACTGTGGACCACCAGCCTGTGCACCTGAGGGTCATGGACACTGCGGACCTGGTAACATTACCCCCACTGCTGCTGAGAGTCAGTGCGGCCTCCCAAGAAGTCCTGGCCGTACAGTGGGGGCCTCAGATGGGAATATGTATCCCTTTACAGCTCCAATTTGCTGTGTGACCTTCTCTGGGCCTGAATCTCTTCATTCATTTGCCAAATGAGAGGGGATGGGACAGGGCCTGGGGAGACCTGATGATCGAGGCCATCACCTTGGAGATCCTGTGCTCTGGGGCTTGATGCTTGTGCACACGTGGAGACAGGTGCACACACATGTTTACACAGAGGCTTCCCTTGGCCCAAGTTCCCCCCAATACACACATCTCCCTGTGTTCTCACTACCCCTTGCCAAGGCTGGATGCCAGTTATTCTCAGAAGCCAAAAGGGCACCATGAACCTGACCCAAAATCAGCGGTGCCCAGAGACAGCCAGGTCTCTGTAGGGGCCATGCCAGGGTGTTGGATCTGCGCCCCAGAGGCCAAGGTCTCCAAGTCTCTGGCTGGGTGGTGGGAGGGAGGCTCATGAGACAATGTCTCCTTTCACACCCAGCCAAATCCACACTCAAGCACCCCTTTGACAAGGGCTCTTCTGGGAAACAATATACAAAGACCCAGAGAGCAGGGAGGTGGGATGGGGTAGCTCAGGTGAAGGCCTTTACCCTGACCGCCTTTGTCCCTGACCAGGGCTTCCCTCCTTTGCTCCAGGATACCCCCAGGAACTGTGAACGCTATCTGAACTGGGCCCATGCCTTCCTGGTGGTATACAGTGTTGACAGCCGCCAGAGCTTCGAGGGCAGTCGCAGCTACCTGGAGCTGCTCGCTCTGCACGCAAAGGAGACGCAGCGCAGCTACCCCACTCTGCTGCTGGGCAACAAGCTGGACATGGCCCAGTACAGGTGAGCCCAGCGGTTTGTCCCACAACTCTAGAACTCACTTTCCTCATTTGTGAAGTCTGGGTGTCATCTTCAGGGATTATTTGGCTGCTAAGAACAGTAATCTCGAATTTAGGTAAAAGGGGGTGTGTTGCAAGGGTGTGGTCTTCTGGGCAGCTGTGGATAGGAAGTGAAGGGCATCTGGGCAGCACAGGGGCTGAACTCTGAAAGTCAGAAGAGAGGCCACTCCTTCCATCCTCATGGGGCTCTGTGGTCTCTCTCGGCCTCACTCTGTCTTGCCAGAGCCTATAAGACCTTCTGTTCCCACTTGGTGCGGCTGGCTGATCCTTCTGTGCCCAATTTCAATTCAAAGGAGAGAGACTCTGATTGGTTTCTTGTGTCAGGTGTCTGCTCTGGTCCAACAAGCTCTCACCTCACCCAAGCTCAGCGCCTAGGCTCACTTCCACCACCATTGGCTGTGCTGAGGGCAGGTTCTCTTAGAAAGGGCTGGACTTGAATTAGAGATCACTGGCTGGGCCAGAGGGCAGATTACCATCGAATAGTACAGCCATATTTTGCTTGGCGAGCACTGTATTTTAGAAGACCTGGAATTGGGATGCTTTGAGGCAGGGTATGCTCTTTCTAGCTGACCACAGGCCTTACCACTCCCCTGGCTTTCCTCTACCCTTTCCACACATTTAAGTTGCCTGCCTGCCCTGAGGCATTTGAGGCTCTCATGCCCCCACTTGATAAGTAATCCCACTGGCCTTCTTCTTCAGGACTGACATTCGTCCTATGTGGCCAGTCTACCTGCAAGGTATGGCACCTTCCACCAGCCTTCCACCGGCCCCTGCCTGCTCATGGCGTGTCACTCCTGCATCCCCAGGCCCCAAAGGCACATTGACTGGTGGTAGCAAGGAGGGGACCATTTGTTTAAAACAGGTTACATGGACAGTGGGAAAAGGGGTTGGAGTCTCATGAAGGGGGACCATGGTTGGGGCCTTCAAAGGCGGGCAAGCCCTCAGACCCAGACATATTCCATCTCAGGGAATGAGGGAAGTTGTGTGATCTTAAAGCCAAAAGGAATCATAGAACCCCCAGAGCCTAGAAGAAGAGTCAGAAGACTGGATTGAGATAACCCAGTTTTCATTATGAAGAAAAAAACTAGACCACTGTTTTGATCCCAGTCTTTGCCAAATAGGTTGTCTAAAAATGGTTGGGCGCAGCTGGGTGTGGCTCAGAAGTTGAGTGTCTACCTAGGATCCAGAAGATCGGGGTTCGATTCCTGGTCAGGGCACATGCCCAGGTTGCAGGCTGCAGCCGATCAATGATTCTCTCATCACTGATGTTTCTCTCTCTCCCTCTCCCTTTCTCTCTGAAATCAATAAAGATATAAAAAAAATAAATAAATAAAATAATAAAAATGGTTGGGAGCAAATAACAAAGAATATGGGCTCAGATGAAGCAGCATCAGTTCCCTAAGAATAAGCCCACTTATCCCCATTTCCTTCTTTCTTTCTTTTTTTATTATTTTTTTAATCCTCGCCCGAGGATACTTTTTTCCCGTTGCTTTTCAGAGAGAGTGGAAGGGAGAGAGAGAGAGAAACATGGATGTGAGAAAGACACATCTACTGGCTGCCTCCCAGCTGCCTCCCAGCTGTCTTCCATGCTCGCCCTGACCAGGGCCCGGGGATGGAGCCTGCAACTGAGGTCAGTGCCCTTGACTGGAATGGAACCCAGGACCCTTCAGTCTGCGGGCCAACACTCTAACCACTGAGCCAAAATGTCTAGGACCCCATTGCCTTCTTTAGATCAGGTCCCTAGGTTAGGAGGTCAAGATTTGATGGGCATGGTAAATCTAACTTTGAGCTGAGCACTGATCAGTGCCCCTCATGATTGTCTTGCAGCTAAAGGGTAAAGTGTGGTTTAGAGCAGTGGTTCCCAAATCACTGATGAAATTTTCACCAGCTGAAACAAAATAAGATAAAGGATAATGCTATATGCCTGCATCACCCACTCACAGACATGCATGGGGTTCGTATTTCTGAAAGTTCGTTATCCAAGCCCCACGATGACAAAGTTTCAGATTCAAGTTTATTATAAAAGTAAATAATACTAAATATCCTTTCAAAAGGGGTTCTTCAGGAAGCAGTGAGCTTATAGACGGGACACCAGCCCTAGGTAGGGGAAGGATTAGGTACTCTGCCCCTGATCGTTTTTGTCCCAGTCATGCTATTTGGTACTCTCCTGGGCAGCTAGCCCACTCCCAGCCCCCTGCTCCTGACAAATGAACCCTGGCTCAGAAACCTTTTCCCACCAGCACCCACCCTAGTGTCTTATCTCATGGGCTGTGCCGTTGTCCTCAGGAGTGGTGGGTGAGGAGACTCAGGAGTGGGGGGTGATGATGAGGATTCAATCATTGAACCTTGGCCTCAAGACTTAAGGGACCCCCCCTGTCCCTTCCCTCTTCTGTTCATCCGACCTACCCAAGAACCAGTCTTTTTCCTGTCTCACTTTGATTCCCATGGCTTCCAGGCCAGAAGTCTCCAGGAACTTCCCAGTTGCAAATATTTGATCCCATCATCCTGGGAGGTAGTATAGGATGAAGCTGGAAATAGGTGCTGTTCTCTCTCTCCTTTCCCCCTACTCTCCATGAAATGTCACCCTTTCTCTCTCCTGCCTCCGCCCTGGGTGGGCAGACAAAACTCCCCAGGAGCCTTGAGAGCTTTGCCAACCACAGGCATCCTGAGTGACCTTGGCCCTCCATGCCTCTGTAGATGCTATGGTCTCACACCCTTCAGTCCGAACCACTGCCTTTTTCTAGAGCTGATCCCACAAGTAAGAGCTGAGGGTGGCTCATTTCCTGACCAAGGGCCCCTTTCGGGGTAGAGGAGAAATGGGTCTTTTTCCAGCCACAGGCAGGGTCTAGGTGCGGCTTTTGGGCCAGCTTCTCCCTTACCTTCAACTTCGTTCCTAAGTTCTGGCTTTCATGACATCAGCCACCATTTATTGAGCATTGATTCTGCAGGGACAGTGCTAGGCACTCAACACAAATTGTCTGTCTTAATCTTAACAACCCTGAGAGGCAGATGTCATTATCCCATTTTACTGATGAGAAAGCTAAGCCTCGTAGAGGTAAAGATGACCTAGGTCACCGAGCTAGTAAGTGGGAGCCTGGTAAGTGAGGCCTGACTGACCTGGACGCACGCTCCTGACCCCACCTCGCCCTGCTTCCCCACCAGGCAGGTCACCGAGGCAGAGGGTGCAGCCTTGGCGGGCAGGTTCGGGTGCCTGTTTTTCGAGGTCTCTGCCTGCCTGGACTTTGAGCACGTGCAGCACGTCTTCCATGAGGCGGTGCGGGAGGCACGGCGGGAGCTGGAGAAGAACTCCCTGGCCCGGCCCCTCTTCATCTCTGAGGAGAGGGCCCTGCCCCACCAGGCCCCTCTCACTGCCCGTCATGGGCTGGCCAGCTGCACCCTCAACACGCTTTCCACCGTCAGCCTGAAGGAGATGCCCACCGTAGCCCAGGCCAAGCTGGTCACCGTGAAGTCATCCAGGGCCCAAAGCAAGCGCAAGGCACCCACCCTGACCCTACTCAAGGGCTTCAAGATCTTCTGAGGATCCGAGGCTCAGAGGCTGGGCAGGGCTGCTGGCCACCAGCTTTCCCTCTGATGAAACAGTAGCCTGCGCCCCCTGGTGGACAGCTGACCTCTGCTCCAGCACCAAGCAGTGTCCCTGACACCCAGTTCAATGTGTGAGCTGGAGGGACAGGCAAGAAGGCTGCTCCTATTCTGTCCAGGACCTTGGTTTCCATGGTAACCACTGCATTCCCTGATGTTGAAGGGAAACAGCTACTGGGACAACCCAGACACCTGGAGTCAGCCTCAAGCAGGAGGAAATCACAGTGTCCATCGTGGTATCACCCCTTCCTGCTCCAGCTCCAGCCAAGCCAGGTGTGGCCCCTTGTGGACAGCCCCAGGAGGCCGGCATAAGTGTAGGCCTGAGAACATCCTGCAGGAGGACAGCTCCAAGGTCCTTGAGCCACCTGGTGGATGGAAGGGCAGGGCAGGTGCAGGTTTTGGAGGGCCAGAGTCTGACCTTCCCATTGTCTTCTGATCTCACAGAAGCCCCAGGCAACAAACCCCACAGTTTATCCAGATAATATCTAGTTTAAACCTATGGGATATCCTGTAAGAAGGAAAGTCACGGGAAGGGCTATTTCCAGTACTTTGTCCCTTAAAGAGGGAAGAGAGAGAGGCTGTGGGTTGTCCAGTAGAGAGGCCTCTAGAATTGTTCTCCAGAAGGCCAGGCCCCTTTATTTTCCCACCTTAAATTAAGGACTCTGGCCACAGTCAGGACCAGCCTCCTCAGTGTAATGATCAAAGCTGCAGAACAAAGTCATTCTCTCCACTGACAGTGACTCGGGATTCCAGGGAGCCCACAGCTGGCAGTGTCTGACATCCAGGCACTATTAGCCTGCCTGGGTCCACAGGTGGAAACAGTATAAGACTTTGTAGCCTGGTTCAGCAGGACCCAGTACCTGCTGAGTGTTCAAAGTCTTCTTTTGTACCATGGAACCTAACGCATTTTTGGTTCTTAAAGCAAATTTTTGCATAAATTATGTGGGATTGTCCCCACAGCTTAGACTACAACACTGTGGCTCAGACACAGATCAGGACCCTCCCTTGAGATTCCATGGTTAGCAAGAGAAGGGTCTCAGAGGTAGGGTGTCCCGTAGGTTTCTAACTCTGTATACCATGGGACCACTGGCCCAAAGGAAGTCTTTCATGGACCCTCAGCAGATAAGCAGATAAAGGAGAGGGCCTTGGTAGGAGGAAGGGGTAGGAAGGGGATTCTGAGCCAGAATTCTGCTCCTTTCCCCATCAGCAGTTCCAGGAACTTGGATTAAAAACAACAGCCCTAACCAGCCTTCAGCCTCATTTCATAGAGATGGAGAAGCTGAGGTCAGGAGAGGTTGTAGACTCCTCGAGACCACATGAGGAGTCCTGGCCAGGCCTCCTGACCGGCAGGCTGGATTTCGCACTTTTGCTCCAAGCCGGTGTGTGTGTGGACCACTACTATTTGAACAAACTATGCAATTCCAACTGCTCATATTCAGAAGCATTTTAATAAAAAGTTTTTTTAATAACAGAATTTTAGTTTGATGACAGTTCTTTCATTTTATCTGCTAACAATATGAGGGCGCTGTTCTTGGTTCTCACTAGCTCTCAGTTTCTTGTGGGTCTGGAAGGAAGACTGATGGCACATTCCTCTCTTTTAGCTCAATTTCCACCTGGGCCAAATTTGGCTTTTCTGAGAGCAAAGTCTCTCTTAGGATGTTCAGACTGTTGTCATCTTTGGTTCCGGCCTCAGCTAAGACTTCTGGAGTTTGTTTTTCCCGTGGCAGCATCTTTTGCTTTCTGGGAGGAAAGAAAACACTGTTGAATGTGAGTTCCCTGAGCTGGGGATGCTGAGTTGCTGGGGCAGACCTGGGTTTCTCAGGTGCATTGGAGAGTTTGAGGGGGGAAACGCAGGAGGCCGCTCTGGGAACAGTGGGGGAGAAAGCTGAGGTGGTTTGATGTTCTTTCAGCAGAGAAGCAGCTTATACTTGCCTGTGCCTCTCACCAAATCCTCACCACCACCTGTGAGCTCAGCTATTCGTACTCCTCACCGAGGAAATGTGGCTGAAAGCAGCACATACCTGGGACATGCACTTAAATCTCCTGACTCTGAGTCCTGTGCTTTCGCCACATCACATTTTCTCCTATCCAAGACTGTCATCCTACCTAGTGCAGGTCCTTGTCAGCCCATACCAAATTCCCAGACAAACTGCAGGAAATTCCTAACTAATCTTCCAGCCTCTTGGTTCTTACTTCTCCAAACCAGCCTAAACGCACCAGTCATGTTTCTAAAGCCCCAGTGTGCACACATCACTGCCCAGCTCAAGCACCTTCAATGGCTCTCCCCTGCCCACCTCTTTAATCTGGCATTCAAGATCCAGACTTCCTTTCAATAACTCCCCCAAGTATCCTCCCTCTGAGATGATTTTACTCAAGGTACACTTCCTGGCCATACTGGAGGGACCTAGCTGTGGTCAGAGCTGACTGCCCAGAGAAGTTGCTTGGGCCGTAGGGGGTACAGCTCAGTGTCTGCTGCTCCCTTGGACAGATGCCTTGTCTCTGAGTTGACTTTACTGAGGGAGATGCTTCCTGACAGGGTAAGAAAGGCAAGGTCACCTTAGAGGCTACACCTCTCTGGGTCCTTCATTATCCTGCATGCAGAAAGATCTTGCTAAAACATGAACCTTTCATGTCCCTGTGCAAAGCCCTTTTCATGAGCTAGAACCTGAGCTCCTTAGGATGGCCCTCAGAGTGTGTACACTCTGGGCCCTGCCCAGCCCTCCTCACACCCCGTGCTACAGCCACAAAGGCCCCCCCTCCCACCTCAAGCTTGGTGCTGGCTCTTGGTCTGGAAGGCTTCTGCAGCCCACCCTCCCTCTCTTTGCCCTGAAGGCCCCAGATCCCAGCTCCCACAATACTCTGGATGTCCCACAGTCATTATCTGTCACTTTGAACTACAATAATCTCACCAAACTAAATTCCATAAGGCCAAGACTGAATCTGTCTTGGCCACAAGTATGGTGCCTGCTCTCAGCACAGGGCTTGGCACAGAGCAAGTGCTCAGTTATATCTGTGGAATGAATGATGAATGGGGCCACAGCGGTTCATAAACGACTAGTTCTCAGTGTGAGCTATGTGAGGCTATTTATTTTTTACTTTATAAGCATAATTGTGAGGAAGATTCATAGATGATATATTTTATAAAATATGGTATAGAAGGAAAAGCACAGAGGTTAGGCCAACCCTTCCATGGATCCTTAATGAGCTTATTCTGTACAGCAGGAATTAATAACTTGTGCCTGCCCCACCTTACAGAGCTATGTTGAAGATCAAATAAGAGAATGTGAAGGTGCTTTTAAAATTACAAAACATGATACAGATTTGAGGGAGAGAGTGTCATTGTTTCAAAGTTTTACTGATGGTGATGATTCATGGGTATACAGCAATTGTTGAATGAATGAATGAATGAATGAATGAATGAATGAATGAATGAATGAGGATGAGTGAACCAAGCATTTATTGAGTGATTTCTAGGACCAGACATTGTTCCAATTGCTTGGGGAAACAGAGTTAAGTCGAATGTGGTTGGTCCCTGCTCTCAAGGATCTCTCAAACATTAGCCCTGGAGTCATCCAGAGAATTTAATCAAATGCACTGCCCAGGTCTTGTCAGACACTTTGTGTCAGGATCTCCAAGGTGAGGCCCAGCAGTCTGTATTTTTAATATTCCTCCTCAGGTGATTTTGTTGTATATCCAGGGTTAAGGAGTATTGTCACTATAAAAATAATAAAATTACCCCAGGAGCCTCAGCTGATCTCAGGTCTCCATCTGAGCCCTGCATTTGGCCTTGGAGCAGGGCAAGGCTTTCCCGTTTAACAGCATCCCTAACTCTGCAATAGCCCCCACTGAGCACTCCCCACAGGAATTGGTTACTACCACCATTCACAGGAGAAACTGGTTCAGAGGTATTGAGAGTATTGCCCTGCTAGTGAGTGACAAAGCTGGGATTTGAACCCAGGCGCCTATGACTCCAGAACCAAAGATCCTGACCTCTCAGACATACCAGCCCCTGCCCTGCTCACTGCCCAGGGCTAGGGGGTGTTAACTGGGGACAGTTGCTAATTTTCCAACAATTCTGGGTTCTCAAAAGACCCTGAAGGCTGCATTTTGCTGTCCCAAAGGGTGGACAGCCAAGGCCCATAGATAACACTTCCCTAGGTTTCCCTTGTGAGGGCAAGGCTCCCACCTTCCAGAGGCCACCCTCAGACTAGCTCCTTACCTGTTTGCATTGATGCTCCTTCCCAGGAGGACCATGCTTATCACGACCACCACACCCATCAGGGCAAAGATGGAGATATTCCAAGGAGATGCTGGGAAGGGACACACAGGGCAGAGACTTGAGAAGAGGCTGGGTGCTCCTTGGGCCCACTAACATTTGGGGTTTGGGCTCAGACACAGCTCACAGCATCAGTTGTCGCCTACTGTGGACCAGGTGTAGGGAGCCTCTGATTAAGGTGAAGATGAGTCCCCTGCCCCTCGGAAGCTTCAGTG